TTAGTAATTACTAATTATCTTGTTGAGACAGATCTCACACTTAAGCTAAGGTAATTTTATTTATATAGCTCATTTTGAGCAAGAAGGCAGCTCAAAGTGCTTCACACTACCTGCTACATTTACAGTTAGAAAAACACTAAACTAAAACAAAAACTGGTTCTGGATTCACATTGAATCCAGAACCAGTTCAGTTTTTTTGTAAGTCATTGTGATATAATCTGTCATCTGAAGTTGTTTTTTTTTAATTGAATCTCACAATTGTGCAGTAAACTTTATGGTTAAGACTTGTGGGACTTTAGCTTTGTTTGCCACAGTTATTCAGTTTGTTCTTTAGTTTTGATGTTCATAGCGTTTACTTGGATTGTGTTTTCTAGATCTTAAAGGTAAACTAGATAATACTTCAAATACATGACGAGGCTTGAGGTTCTCTTCATTTCCGCATGTTAAGATCCACATAAGATAATTTTTTCAATATCCCAACGTGTATGGCAAAGTAACAAAACTAAGTGAACTTACCTGGCAGAATAGTAGCCAGCATCATCAGTGCTGATGTTTAAGAAAAGCAGCGCTCCTCCATGGTAATGTATCCTGTGTGTCTCGTCTGTGGTGATATTCATGACCTCTGGGCCGTTTTTGAACCACGTAATGTTTTCATCAGGCAGGTTGGGGTCATCCATATCGAAGGGCACATAATAAAATGCTTCGCCTTCAATAACTTTATATCTATCCTGGTCCAGGTGAAAGCAGGAAGAATCTGATGCTTCTGAAAGTGAGGAGAAAGAGGACACTTACAAACAAGAATGTTCAGCATAGAAAAGCATTACAACATTTCATTTTGCCTTCCTTTAACTACCTTTTTGCAAAGCTCTTTGTGGTTTTTACCTTTTAAAAATAAAAATATATATTTTTTTTTAATTGAGGACTTAGGGGAGTAACCAGGATTCCTAGAATATTTGTTTTTCTCTGTCATTTGTCATGCAAGTCAGTAAAAACAAACTTTGCTTTGTTTCCTTTATATTTGCCCTCTGGTGTGCATGTTCACATTATGAACTGCATCTCTCATCATAAGCCATAAACTCTGCAGTCAAAGTTGATGATTTTTCTTACATCTTGCATCTCATTCCTCTAAATGATGAAGAGTAATATATTTTTTTTGTCTATGTTCTTTGTGCACACACTACCTGATATCCCATCAGATGTGGACATCACCATGACGACGGACAGGAGAAGCCTCGAGACGTCCATTAGCTGAAAGAGACAAAGTTCATTCTCAAACTCTTCAGATCTTCAAATTCCTGTCTGCTTCTCACACATGTAGATAACCTTATTTTTCCTCCGTCTCTTAGGTAGATTTTCTTTGACAACAGGGGCTCTAGAAAGTTCATCAGTAAGCTTTCTCAGCAGATGATTACGATCTGTGCAGTTACAAAATCATTTTCTGAAGAACGTTATCAGAAATCATGTTTTGCAAACGAGAAAACTGCAAAAACAATGTCCTGTTTTTCTTTTCTTTGCAGAAGTCAATACAATAAAGCAGAAGCTGTTGTCAGTAAAAACTATATTTGATGTTCTTTCTCTGTGGTGTTGCTACTGCAAGCCAGTTTTCATGTTGCACATTAAGCTTTGCTTGGAGATTTGACTGCAACAGTGACTCAAACTTAAAACAGCTATTTGGCAAAGTGGCAAAGTGAGTAATTTAACTTCGGACCACTGAATGAACTCATATGGCATTGTTCATTTTCTTTGTGATTGGGTAAGGAACTGCTCAGTTGCCATTCTTCAAATCCAGAAACTTGACTGAAATGGTTGAGTGATTCATCAGCCTACAATACACAGTTTATAATTTTAACTTACTATCCTGAGTGTGAGGCTCCACAATTACATACACAACTGTAATTCGGATCGATAGACAGCTGATCCCTACATGTATTTTGTCAAAAAGTTCTTCTCATATTAAAAACAGCAAAGAATAAACTGCAAACAAAGTGAGGTCTTTGGGGAATATTTCCAGCATAATCATAGATAATACATATGATTTTTCTCAATTTGCCTCTGGGTGTACAACAGATACCTGACCATGGATGAATAAATGTTAAAAGAAAAGAAGAAGGTAGATTTAAGATTGAAGAAAATCTTTCAATAATCCTAAAGGGGCAGTATTGTGTGTTTTCACACCCCGATTGTAAGACGTATCGGGAGTTTCAGGGGGGTCGGCTAATATAAGCCGTACCCCGAAAGTAAGACATATGTCTTACATTTCGGGGAAACACCTCTCAGCTATAGCTATGCACTGGCCACCTCTGTGGGAATTAAAGAAACATGATGCAAAAGTTTTATTTGTAGCTCGGTCACAGTTATAAAACTGAAAAAATAAAATAAAAAAAAATTAAAAAAAGAAAATATATAAAAGCAAACAGTAAAAAAAAGTAATGTAAATTTCTGCTTACCTCTTCTGCTCAGGTTGAGAGACTTCTGAG